AAACTATTTACTAAAAATCAGTTATACGATCATAAATATGTGAATACAGAGTCTAAAGGTGAATTGATTTGTATACACCTGAAATAAAAAAACAATTTTGCACAAAGGGCAACACATTACAACACGAAAACCAATAGAATCAATTACGTTACCACTCTAACTAATTCCCAAATAAATGGAAATGAGTTAGAGGCACATGTCGAATTCATGTTCTTTTTGTACACATGAATGCAATATTGTTATGTATACTTGGATCACATTCCATGCATATCAATTTCAATTACAGTCAGTATGGAAGACGCAACGGCAACACCTGCGTCAAATTAAAAACACCAGTACCAATTTCGATTTCACTTATAATAGATAAAATTATATTTTCTGATAAAATTGACCAGGTTAGAAAGTGATATGCCCTTTACATATCAACTCCACGATCTCCTGACTATGGGTCTTACATCTGCTTAAAAATATATAACGGTCGGAACTCACGAAACTAAGATATGACCGTTCTATCGAGGGCATCTGACATCGTGTCCCATAGCCTAATGTCAAACCTATTTCATTGAATTGAAAAGATAATTAAGTCTCGTGGCGAAATTCGATTCTGAAGCCAATCTTATAAAAAAGTGTGATATCGTTGAACAATCAACGAAGGAGCCGTCAACTGAAAAGTATTTGCCAGTTAAGGTAGGTAAAGTATAATGAGTATTTCGGCTCATTATTAGGATCAGGGGTATCACGCGGTAGTATCTCTTCGGGACGTATCGAAACCACTCCGTCCCGAAAAACCGTTAATTTGAATTTAAAACCTACCCCAGTGTTTGAAAATCAAGGATTGTGAGTCTCACACTTCACCGTTTTTCTTCAAACTTGTTCCGTACAAAGCTTCACAGAAATACCTTTCAGTCGATACATTGTTTTCGTGTACAAAGTACCTCGTTTTAGCGGCGTTTTGGTCCCCAGCTGTGAGATAAAGCAAATTTTCATAACTTTCAACTGTAAGTCAAGTTATCTCGCCAGTCTTTTACCCATTCTCGCCCATAATTTCAGAATGGACTCCCATTACAACCTTCCATCGCTACGTCTTGATTTTTGGGCATCAAACGCAGCAGTTTCTAAATCATCCACACATCTCTTCAAATTTGACCAATACGTCCCGTCATTTTCCACTACGCCCCGCCGAGTCTATCACTATACACGTAGAGTTGCATTCTAAAACAATTTGTCCATCGATATGTCCGTTTGTAGGTTGCCATTGTCGATTCTAAATACCAATCGGATTGTGTTTTAAGATTTACCCATTCTTGTCCATTTTCAATATACCTATAATAGGGTGGTCCAAAATCTCCCTAAAATTTAGATTTCCCGATATTGCAATATAAAGATTTTAATTACTGAACAATTGAAAATATTTTTAACAAACGTTTAAAGTGCCCTATCCTTGAAAAAATGTTAAATTGCGAAAGGATGGGTGATGTCAATTATATTATTTTCAGCATAACGTTAGAAACATGTATCATTTTAATGGTACACGTTTCATAATGTAATCCAATGGAATCATACAGAAGAAAGGTTGACACACAACAGTTAAAATCTTTATATTACATTATCAGACCAAGTCAGTAGATGTTGTTTATATACCAATTAGTGTTGTATGATGATGCATTCTTTATATGAATCTAGAAACGTTTTTGTGCCAATATTGCTCAATTTTGATAACATCTCCGTTATTTTGAAATTAAGCGTGGCAAAGTTTCCCGATGGATTTAGCTAAAAAAAGTGGTGCCTGTGGGGTTATTGAAAATCATACATGATGAAGAAAAAATACATATTCCTGAAATACAACAGTTTAATTTTTATTTTGGGAATAAAGTCAAGTTATATTTCCGTCAATTTTATAAGTATTTCCCTCGCAGGTTATGTAGATAAAAATTCAAACATAAATAGGCGTTAACACGTAGTTCAATGGGGAGCTAAGGTTGCCAAACTTATGGAGGGGACAGTATCATGTAAAAGTATATTTTGCCACCAATTACACGAAACCTGCTACTGCATTATTGAAACTATTATCCCGGTAAAGGACCTGTTTCAGATTCTATTACCGCCTCCCCATGAAAAAATATTAATTCAACTGATATTTCAAAATCAATGTACAGGTTTAATTATAACATTTATGTGTACACTAGTATCCTCACGGTGTATAACCCAAACGCTCTTACATGCACGACGGAGCGTTTCATTTACGCGGAAACGCTCCGAAGCGAAATAAAATGGCGGCTAATGATGATTCCACTATGACCGTAAGTATTGTTTCTCTCGTTTCTCTTACATATCATATGTTATGGTGAAATATTATGTACCATTCGATGAACAATACCATGAGCAAAGATCTTATTTATTCAACTTCTGGTGGTAAACTGTTATTTGCTTTATCAAAGCTCCGTAGTGTAGATCGAACGAATCTGAAGATGACGATTTGACCACAAATTACGAATTAAACTAGTATTTCTATGAAAACGTTAATATTTCTGTTAAAGGGTGACGCATATCGTTTAGCAAATCGAACGCTCGTTTCTGGTGTTGCTCACCGTTTAGTATAAAAGGCCTGATCCCGGAATAATATATGAGATGATTATGAGGAAAATGAAAGCAATATTAATTGATTCATGATGTTCAACCACTGTGTCCACATATACCCAAATTTAAAAAAACAACATGATATGTTATAATGAAACGCCTTAGAAGTCTAACATTGGAAATACCAAAGGAGCTAAAATTGAAGTGGGTCATACTTTTGAAATGGGTAATCCATTGAATGTGGGCAGCAAATATGTCAAGAAACACGATCTCAAAAGCAACAATAGAAGACTTAAAAATCACGTACTTTTATTGAATACCACGAATTACAATTTTGTATTCATTTGAACAATCGGAGCATAGTATACTTGTATGTTACTATACCACATGTATAAAACCTCAACTACATAAAGATATAAACGTTTGATATAAAATAGCATGATAAAGCCTTGAATAAAATATTTTTGATGGTCGTTTTGAATGAAGCAGACGTTTAAGTGGAGCTTTACGCCTTCTCTTGGTTAGTTATTCATTTACATAAGGGGTTAGATGAAGTACTTAACTTTAAATTATTGACTGACGAGATTATTGTAAGAAAGTATATATGAATCATAAATGTATCGAACTTTGGGTAACGAACGATTGATCGAGACTTAGAGTTACTTATGTTCGTAGTTGAGAAAGAAACATCTGGGTAAGTTTTTGAAATTATCGACGTTTATTCAAGGGTCTCATGTATCTTTTTAAATATATTTGCTATAAGGAAGTAAGTGTGTTTACATTATCATCGTGATTTTTCACATGGTCTAAATATAATGGTTGAATAGGTTAAACCTTGAACGTCGGTCACGGAAGTTTTGCCAAATATGTGATAAATAATTGACTGAGGTAAGAGCACGCTGGCCTAAAATATAACATTAATCATTTCATTTTATTAGATCATATAAAATATGTTTTGGCTAATTAATTAACTCGTACCCGTATCTTCCTTATTGATCTTTTATTACACGATACCAGGCTTACGAACGTAATCACGTACAATATCGTGACATCATTTATTATGCCTGGTTACTATGATGATAGTGTCAACCTTTGCAAGTGATGTCATTTAAAGAATAGACTGTCAATTCTTCCAAAAGGTGTCACTGTCAGGTATCAGAATATTTGAAAATTATCCATTTGATCACACGTTTAGAAAACAACGACTACAAGATATTTTCAACATCAAACACAAAATGGGAAATGAAATCAAACACCGGAGTTTAGCAAGAAAGTATTTGCAAACACTATTATTTAATTTGCTATGTTCAGGACGCGAATATACACGTCTAAATAAATAAAATATTTTAATGTAGACCACCTTTACATTTCTCTTCTCTGTTGGCTTATCGGATTATCCGCGTGTTCTTTGATAGAATAACCTTGTGATCTTGGAAAACAAACTACACTCCCCTCCATAAGGTTGGCAGTCAGAAGTTTTCATTGGATAGCGAATTCCTCTTATAAAGCCCTTTATAAGTTAAAAGTTCGGAAATCTACAACGGTGATTTTTTAAATTCTCACCAATTACAAAATAGCCAGATAAATAATTCAAACGGGGAGTTCTTGCTGCCAAACTTATGTAAAGGAGTGTATATATATATATATCCAATGACTGAATGATCGAACAACGTAACAAATTCAATAATTGAATATCAAATTGGTGATGGATGTTACTAATCAAATTGGCATTATAGGTTAGAGGATATATGATAAAGGTTACTTACATTTGTGGATGCTGGTTTTCCATTTTGGAAAAGGGTTATTTGCAATATAAAATGTACATTGTGTTTCTACGAGGGGTGACCAATAAAGTAATGGACGCTTTCGCGGAAATAAAGATATATCAAAATATATTACATGTTTTGTTTTCAAATCACCAGAGTTGATAGATAATTGAATGATGTATCACTGGTAAGAAAATCGAAGGTATTGGTCTATAAAAGCATCCGTGTAAAAAAGCGTCCATTACTTATTGATCACCCCTCGTATATTTGCATAAGGTCGAATTTTCGTACGTTAATGTTAAACAAGTTAAGGTTAAACCCAATTTCAGTTGGATTGAGAGTAGCACATTGGGAGGGAGACTAATAAAACCGATATTAAAAACTTGAAATGTATTTTATTGAGCTTTAAAAGTTGAAAAAGTCGTGATTTTGATGACACACCTAAGGTGAAATTAAATTCATAAGATAACTTACTTATTATTAAGCGCCAATGGGTAAATGTGTCAATGGGTTCATAAATCAATTGGTAATCAATGAAATATTAATTTGTTTCTATAGCGTTCTATTGCTGATTAATTGATACTACTTAATAAATAAAAAATATAACAACGATTCTGGAAATCTTAAATAATATTTTTGTGATATTTATTCTTCCAGGGAGAAACGTTGGTGTTCGACAGCCCTGAGGAAACGAAACCTCACAAACCCATAAGGTCAACCCACAAGGGAACATTCAGCAGTACATTGAGCGTTGAAAACCGACTTGCCGAGGGTGAAAAGCCGTTATTATCACAAGTGTATACCGAGGGGCAGATAGGGTTAAGTAACGGATATACGGGGGGATACGGGGATAACTCAATAGACGACCTAGGGGTGGATATCGATAATAACATGCCTTCATTAACAACAACCATTCACCAAAGGGGGTCAGCGTCCGAGGTCCCCGAGTACTTAAGGGGGTCGGCCAGCATCACCCCTGTCCATTTCCAGGAGCGAATAAGCGTTGGATCCACGGATGATTACATTGAACGAAATTCTGCCAGCTTCTGTGAAATCGTTCCCGGGAAACGGTTCGTCTCCAGCGTCAATTTTGAACCCACTCTTACTCCAATAGAGTTCCAAGACAAACTGTTTTGTTACGTCAACAGTAGCAGGAAACGCTTCAAAAGCGCCGTGGAGTATGAGCCAAGAGTAAGGCCAAGGTCGTTCGCTGACAGAATGTATGTGTATCCTAAACGCCCAGTTCACACATTCGTCTCAACGCTCGACAACAACTCCAGCTTAGGACGCAAATGGTTTAAAACCGCAGTCCAACTCCAAGCAAAAACTTTCACCACAACGAAACTGGTAAATGTGACATCATTGAACTATAATGGAACCACAGTTAATAGAGATCACCACATCAATGACAATGACATTGACAATGGAGATAAAATCATTAACTTCAAAGTGAAAAAGGACATCACCACTGACTCTAATGGTAACACAACATACAGAGCTGCGGTCGTTAATGGATACGCAAATGGGATCCACTAACCAACATATGCAAATTAGAAACGTGAACTTAACTTATTCAAGACATGATCACAATGCAACATATAAATATCTTCAATTACAATTATTTATCAACAAACCGGCTAATTCAGTGTGATTTATGAACAAAATACTGTGAAAAGAACATCTCAACAAAATATAAAGCATTAATGGCACTACAATACTGCTTTGGGATTCAGTGAAAAAACACACCACGGAGTACCAGAAAACATAAAAAACATATATTTAGCCATAATAGCCTTTGTGCCAGCAAACTATTATTATCAGGGCCCTCAGAGCAGGGAACATTCTTTTGGAATTTATAAATTAAACACCAATCAACAGAATAGCAAAATGTCTGCCTCTAATAAGTACTATACATGCTATTTGAGATTTGAAAATGAGATTCTGAATGAGAAAAGCATACAATTGGCAGACAAAGTGAAGTAGGCGTGTTGACATATATGTATATTCAGACTTAAGAGAAATTGATGTCAAAACTATTTTGTGACTGCTATGCAAAAAATAAAATGGCTTTAAACGTTATGTATACCTTTACCTCACAAGGTTTGTATCAGTAACTCACTGGTATGACAATGTTTGTATCAGTAACTCACAAGTCTGACAATGTTTCTATGAGTAACTCACAGGTCTGACAATGTTTGTATCAGTAACTCACAGGTCTGATAATGTTTGTATCAGTAACTCACAGGTCTGATAATGTTTGTATCAGCAACTCACAGGTCTGACAATGTTTCTATCAGTAACTCACAGGGCTGACAATGTTTCTATCAGTTACTCACAGGTCAGACAATGTTTGTATCAGTTACTCACAGGTCAGACAATGTTTCTATCAGTAACTCACAGGTCTGACAATGTTTGTATCAGTAACTCACTGGTATGACAATGTTTGTATCAGTAACTCACAAGTCTGACAATGTTTCTATCAGTAACTCATAGGTCTGACAAAGTTTGTATCAGTAACTCACTGGTCTGACAATGTTTGTATCAGTAACTCATAGGTCTGACAAAGTTTGTATCAGTAACTCACAGGTCTGACAATGTTTGTATCAGTAACTCACTGGTCTGATAATGTTTGTATCAGTAACTCATAGGTCAGACAATGTTTGTATCAGAAACTCATAGGTCAGACAATGTTTGTATCAGTAACTCACAGGTCTGACAAAGTTTGTATCAGTAACTCACTGGTCTGACAATGTTTGTATCAGTAACTCACAGGTCTGACAATGTTTGTATCAGTAACTCACAGGTCTAACAACGTTTGAATCAGTGACTCACAGGTCTGACAATGTTTGTATCAGTAACTCATAGGTCAGACAATGTTTGTATCAGAAACTCATAGGTCAGACAATGTTTGTATCAGTAACTCACAGGTCTGACAAAGTTTGTATCAGTAACTCACTGGTCTGACAGTGTTTGTATCAGTAACTCACTGGTCAGACAATGTTTGTATCAGTAACTCATAGGTCTGACAAAGTTTGTATCAGTAACTCACAGGTCTGACAATGTTTCTATTAGTAACTCACAGGTCTGACAATGTTTGTATCAGTAGCTCACAAGTCTGACAATGTTTGTATCAGTAACTCACAGGTCTGAAAACGTTTGTGTCAGTAACTCACAGGTCTGACAATGTTTGCATCAGTAACTCACAGGTCTGACAATGTTTGTATCAGTAACTCACAGGTCTGAAAACGTTTGTGTCAGTAACTCACAGGTCTGACAATGTTTGCATCAGTAACTCACAGGTCTGACAATGTTCGCATCAGTAACTCACAGGTCTGACAATGTTTGTATTAGTAACTCACAGGTCAGACAATGTTTGTATCAGCAACTCATAGGTCTGAAAATGCATGACGAGTGCCATAAACTATAAATTATAAAAATTGGTTAAAAAATCCATTATCTGTCACTTGTTTTAGGAATATTTGCCAATTTAGTCCAGCCATATGGGTGGCCTGATGGGTGGTCACATATATGTTTTATATAAATATAACACTTTGCTCACACTGGGAATAAGAATTATCTGATTAATATGGCACTGTGGGGAGGGGCACCAGTTGGAGGGTGGCTGTTGGGGGAGGGGGTATATGTTGTGGTTGGTATGACCATGTGTCAAATTAGACACTATTGCCAATATAGAGAGTACCACACATCGAAACAGAAACAATCATTAGAATCTAATTAATGATTTATAATATATGCATATAAACAATTAATTGCTCAGATGTGATTTTTAATTCAGATTATTAGGCAACCTTTAAGTGCAAACGTGCATGTCAAGTGGACACATGTGTTTGCAATTACCCAAATGCGAGTAGGTAATTACCAGTTTCACCACCAGGTGGCTGATTCGGGTCAATTAACATGGCAGGTATATAAGAAAGTTCCCTTAAACTTGAATATTATCAATTTAGGTGGCTCAATTTTCATATAACCCTTATATGTCTGATACTTATACTAATGAAAATATGTCCAGTAAAGCAAAATATTATCTGTCCACTAAAAGAAAAGATATTTCATTTTTTGTGATTTTATAGCATGGGGTCTATGGGGAATCTCCCCGAGCAAGAAGTCACATTTTCAAAGAAAATTAATTTTTAAAGTTGATAAACACTTTTTAAAACCACACTTCTAGATGTAATTTTACATGTAGATTTCAAATATGATATTACTTTGACTGAATTTTTAATTTTTAATGATGTAAATCAAGATTATTTCTACTCGCATCTTGGTTATTGTATGTATATGAATGTTAATTTGATACACATGTATGTATTTGTGTAAACATGTCTGTAAGTATAAACATGTTTGTAAGTGTAAACATGTGTGTACGTGTAAACATGTTTGTAAGTGTAAACAAGTATGTATGTGTAAACATGTTTGTAAGTGTAAACATGTGTGTATGTGTAAACATGTGTGTATGTGTAAACATGTTTGTACGTGTAAACATGTTTGTTAGTGTAAACATGATTGCAAGCATAAACAAGATTGTAAGTGTAATCATGTTTGTAAGTGTAAACAAGTGTGAATGTGTAAACATGTTTGTACATGTAAACATGCTTGTAAACGTTGAAAAGTATAAAGAAACTTAACACACATGTTTATAAGGCCTATGACATGCAAATATCTGTACATGTAATACAAAATATCATGTAGTTATAGTTATATGATTGTGATACATGTAAGTGCATACCTGCATAATCTTTTTTTAAACTTTAACATAGTAATATAAGAATGTATATTATAATATTTATGTATATATAAATATCATAAAGGATAAAACTGTTTTGTTTTAATTCTGTCAATACTTTTTCTGAAGAGCAATAAGTACATGCTTAATGAAATCCATCTATTATTGTTTTTTCCAAAATATTTTGTTTCAAAAATCAAAACCCATGCTCCATGGCAGTGCTCTTCTTCAACTGCAACTTACTATTCGAAGACACTGCAATACTAGTGTTTGTCCAAAACCCAGACCAGAAAAGTGGTACGTAATTCTAAGGCAAAATCAGATGTTGAATAACTTTAAACCCAAAGAAAGATGTCAGCACAAACAACATTTTCAGTGGGAAGGGAGGAAAATTTACTGAGCAACTGAGCAATATACCAGATGTCAAAAATTGTTCTGAACAGAAATGAAAAATGGGAATAATTCTTCCTTCATTGAAAAAGCTGAACTTTTCACATGATTAAGAGAATTTGTAAATTAATTGACATTTCAGATGACATGCTCTAAATGAGCCAGTTATGAACTTGCTACTGAAATGGGAAAAGTGGGGGATGGTACAGAACAAGCATTTCTCTAAAACTCAATGGAGTTACCCGATGAAACTTTCAGACGTCCATAATAGTAATTGCTCATCAGATGTTAATTTTAGAATATTCCTTCAACACTCTCAGAGGTATTTCCTATTTGTCGTGGAATAAGTTTTGGGACACCCTGTAGAATTAATAATATCAAGGGTACACATAACATAAGGCATACTATTGTCTAATACTGTTGGTAAAACCGTGGACATTCAATAGAGGTAAAACATATATCTCAGATATATTTTTTCTAATAGATATATTTCATTGATATAAATGTACAGTTTATAAAATTAGTTTCTATGCAATATATGCATGTAGAATGTAGATACAGTTTGTATTAAACAAAAGCACTTGAATATTAATTTACACAAAATACTTCCAAAATATGTGTAAAAGGCTTACATGTATTCTGTGTACAAATAAAGGCAGGCAGAGGCTGATATACAAAATATCATGTGGAAGACACTCTCCCATGTTAAAAATCACGGAGTTGAGATTTGTAGCCAAAACAAATTCATCACACACATTTTCTAAACCTCTAAATATTAGCAAAATAAGACACTGAGATTTTTTGTGCGACACATTTGTTCAAGACCTATGCTGCCTCACGTTTCTGGCTCATAAAATAAATTGTAGATAAAATATAGCTTAATTGAAAGCTATCACTTGGCATTAATTGTGAGAAATTAAATTTAAAGTTGTGGCAAAGAATGGAGTGTAAAATCTTGGAAGTGATCTTTTATGAGAAACTATTCTGATTTTCATTTCAATTGATTTTCATTTCAATTCTGATTTTCATTTCAATTGATTTTCATTTCAATTCTGATTTTCATTTCAATTGATTTTCATTTCAATTGATTTTCATTTCAATTCTGATTTTCATTTCAATTGTGATTTACATTTCAATTGAGTTTTATTTCAATTCTGATTTTCATTACAATTGATTTTCATTTCAATTCTGATTTTCATTTCAATTCTGATTTTCCTTTCAACTTTTGTTTCTGTAAAAAAGAGAATTCAAGAAAATGAAATATTTAATAAGCAGAAATCTCCAAATTGATTAGTACTGAAAAAGGCATCCAGATTTCAAAAAATGCAATTTACAAGTTGCAAAATAAACTCAAAAATCAAATAATGGTAAACATGAAGTGAAAATAGTGTCATGACATGGAATAATATGAAAGATATTACAAAATGGTCACAATTTTTATGTAATACTTTCAACTAGCATCTAGTAACCCTAAATCTTATCTCATTTTTCATCATTGTTGCACCTTTAAATTACATCACATGACTAGTTCATGTGCGCGCGGTGAAGTCAATACATCAATCGCAATATGGTCACTACCCCCTTGCACTGGGGATGACCCTGCGCTACTACTACTACTCAAAGGACTCGCCCAGCTGATTCCCTTGGCTTGAGCCTCTGCTAGATACCTTTTCCGTCTGTTCAATTTATAAACTCTTATTCGCTCAATTTCAAGAGCTTCATCATCTAAGGCATTGTCCCATCGTAAACTTTCATTTTTAGTTTTTCGCTGATTTGATAAAACTGATTTTGCGGTAGTTGAGATTTGACTATTGGGTGGTCTTGAATTCACAGCACCAGAGGACTTGCTAGAAGGCATCATACTAGGTTTAATGGTATTTTGTTGGACATTAATCGTCACTGCAGATAAACACTTTGACAAGCCCTTTTCACCTGATTTCAAAGTTGACACTGTCGTTTGTGTAGTGTTCTTTCTAATCTGTTTTGACGGTGATGACTTTTTTGATTTTCTGTGAGATTTTTTATTTGCAGATTGAGCATTTGTTTGTTGTGTTTCGGTAGGTTCAGTTCTGGACCCAACACGACTGTCTGATGATGATGAAACATTACTCTGAGGTGACCTGACCTTTTGACCTTGAGATGGTGATGTCACAGTTGGTGACCTTGGAGATTTTGTTTTCTTTGACTTAGTACTGGAAGGTGTTTTGTGTTTCCTCATTTTGTTTGAAGAACTGTCAGATTCATCAGCAACTAGAAGCACAAAATTATAAATAATTTTATTCATTGTAAATGCAAAAGTTTATGAATAAAATACAATTGAGACTTTAACTCTCATTAAAAAGACATTTAGATTTTACATGGTTTTTATACAAAAACTGTAAATACATATGTACTGAGTGACCCAGATACTAAACTCTGTTTAACTACAGGCAAATAAAGTAATAAAAAAACTACATGCAATATGTATTTACTATAAAGCTCTCTATTAGAGAGGAAAACTCAAAATACAGTTGAAAAGGGTAGTTGAAGTCCTAACATCAATAACAATTGTTTCACCAGTTTAACTAAATTGATAAATTAGTGTCATGAAACAAATTATTTGTTGGCCTACCTACCTTTATAATTAATTCTACTAGGCTCTCTTAATTCATTTGGTAATTCAATCCAGTCAGTTGGACTTTTGAACTATTCCTGTCATGTTAACGCATGCATCTAATGTTTATCATAGAGATTTTGGATTATAGAGTGTACAGTACAATAATTCCAAATTCAATATATAATAATCCTTCATCACATTGAGTCAATGTTTTCCAAGTTTCAGTTTAAAGTATCATAAAATCAACAAAATCATAAAAACAACAAAATAAAGCTGAATTCTCACTATTCTCTCTTCAGGAATGTCACTATATGAACATCGCTACGAAATGTTTTAATCGTCACTTGTTGCAACGTTTATTTCATCTCTATATTAGTCTATGAATTAAGGTTAGATATATTGATCTCAATTGTGGAGATCAAACAAAGTCTCACAATACATGTGTAAAGTCTCTATGCCTCAGAAATTGAAAAGGTCAACAATGACTTTGCTTCTTGAATCTTAAAGCAAACAAGTGAAAGTGAAGGAACAACCATTAGTTCTATTTGAAGGAACCCACCTTTCTCAGTTATGAATATGCCTAAAGCTGGTGCCTGAATTTTAAAGAGCTACTTGTATTCTGGACGCTGCATAAAAAATTTGTTTTTTTTAGTTTGAAAAAAGATTGGGGATAAATGATTTTATGCATTATTATTCTTTTTTAGAAAGATATTCTATATTTGTCTGTCCCTTGTGAAAATGTTTCCTTGATTTATATTGGTCCATCCCTCGGGGCACTTCAATGTCATTTTGTTTCATGTTGATTCACTAGATTGTTGCTCCAGAACTGCAAGTTCAAGTTTAACGAGACTTTCTATAGAATTATATAATGACCTATTCATTCTTTACTAAAAGGAACAAGTGTGCAAACCATTGGCTTGAGACCTATTCATGAATTTCATTATTTTCAAGATATTTAATATGGAAGAGTGTGTGTATTTGAACATAAATCAAGGGTAGTCGTACAGACTTTTAATCTTATCTTACACTTCAGCTTACAATGTCAAACCAAATCATTAAAGAATAGCAGAGAAACATTCATTCTTAAAGAAAGACAAATTTTTGAAAGGACATTTTTTGAATCCCTTGATGATTTTACACTTGATGTTTATTTGAATGAAATTTTTGACTTCAACTCTCCATTTTTATAATTTAATCATGTTAAATGAATTTAACAGTGTTTATTTGTTTGTTTATGAAAAAATAGTATTCAACTGCACTGTAAAACACATACTAGTCTATTAGAATTTAGAAAACAGTCTATGGATATTTTGTACTGAACTGGAATAATCATATCCATATTCTGGGATCTTACTATCTAAGTGTCTACCTTCAAAATAATCATCTTCTCAACGAAAAAGAAAAATACCAAACATTACTCTAAAATGACCATATGATTGACATGAACATGTTCAAAATAGAATTATATAAATGAGTAAGGCTGCAATGTCTTTTACTGTTGATCTTTTACACATGATATGGTCTGTCTTTTACACATGATATGGTCGGTCTTTTACACATGATACAGTATGGTCGGTCTTTTACACAGATATGGTCAGTCTTTTACACACGATATGGTCGGTCTTTTACACATGATATGGTCAGTCTTTTACACATGATATGGTCAATCTTTTACACAATTTGCCCTAAACCCTGTTTTGAAGCTACCTGTGGAAAACGCTCAGTGGGATCATTCTTTTTCGTAAAAACAAAAAAAGTGGTGGTACATGCATATGTATCAATCCAGGGGGCAAGGATATTTATATAACTGTTCATATTTAAGCTTACCAGGGATGTCAGTGACTGTTCGTTCATCATTTTCAAGTCGAACGTGTCCTTCCCTTGAGCTGGCACTGGAAGAAACTTTTGTGTCTGTGTTGCTGTTGGAATCTGGTCTTTTCCGGTGTTTTTTCCGACGTTTTCCAGATCGTTTTGATTTGTCCACTAAGTTGACAGTCTTCTTGGAGGTTGTCCGAACAGTTGCTTTACCCTCCATAGAGAGTTTGATGACTGTTAAACCATGATTGATGAGTTATTTGACATTTTTATATCAAATTTCGAATATAAAATTTATTAACCTATTCACTCTCTCTACAAACAATAGATCATTGCGCATTGACAACCACAGATAGTTCTAAATCAAATCAGGCAACGAGTTCAAGCAGCTGTTGAAAAAGCATGTATGATATTCGATTATATTTATAAAAATTGGTTTTATTAATCAATTTTACTGTTAAAGCGCATTAATGCGAATAACAGTTTTTGCGGATTGATATAGGCACTATTTTTTGCCACCTAGGGAGGAAAACACGCACTACTTAAAATGCAGCAAAATATCTGAATTTTGTGATAAATCAGCGATAATTAGGTATGTGCATACTTGAATACACTCTAATTATATTAAAAGGTGTTTATTTAATTAAACATATTGTGTATAATGTAGAAACCTCAACATTATTGTTGGCAATATCTAAAAAACTATTTTAAAAAAAAGTCGATGGGTGATAATTGACTTGTCAAAGGTTGGAATTTGAATTGGCATTGATGTATGACTTGAGACAGGGCTGTCAATTTGGGACCATCTAAAATGAGTGACTTCCAAATGTTGAACACCTTCCTTCAAACTTTGGACAGCTTCAGTGAACACTGGCAGATTTTGGACACCTAAAATTTTTCGTGATTTTTTGCGTGACACAAACGGCACTCGCGTGCAAAGTCCGAACGGAATGTGTTCGCTTTTTTCGCCGTTCGGTTTTTACCGTATCGGCATTTCACAAAAAACGATTTTTAAAAATATCAACAAAATGCGTGATTTGCACGATATTTGATCATACACGCTAAATTGATGCGTGATTTCTATTTTTCCAGCAAATGCGTGACAATCACGCCTAATGAGTGAGGGTTGACAGGGCAGTTGAGATCTGCGAAAGATGCATAATGATATATTATTGTGTACGTTTCCCTCATTTCAGATCAATATTATACACTGATGTGATACAAAACAAGTGTTTTACTGTTATACATCATGTGCATGGATAATGGGAAGTTATCCTATAGAATAATCCTGGTTAGGCATCTTGAATCAGAAAAATCTGACCTCCACCCTGAGATGTCGTTATTCACTGGCATTACCACTTGCTATAAATTCATAATCGGCACTATCAAAAGGTTTATACTAATATCACGATCACCTTTTATGTGTGTTTTGAATTTTTTGTTATGAAATAAGACCAAATCTGGCGATTCAAAATCTGAAACGGGAAAAATGGCAGCTTTTGAATTTCTAATTCGGACATCCTTTAGATCGCCTATTCACTTACGACAGGTGGTGCGAGGATCAATTCTAAATTCTCTGATTTGGTTCATTATCTGACCAATAAGCCATTTTGAGGTGACAAAAATTATATTTTTCCCTGAAGTGTTATCTTTATGCATACCAGGAGAATCTTGTACTTATAACATGGCAACATTTTTTTTATTTATCCTAATTTTTCTTCTCGTGCCAAACATTTAACCAATCATAAATGGGAGCTCTTGTACAGGCGTTCATTAAGTATTGCTAATTTTGCTATAACTTTTGTTCTGTTTGCTTTTTCTTCATGAAACTTCCACAACATAAGGTATATAAATCTGCCTTTATTCTGTGAATATTCCAAGACAATAGAATTAGTATTAACAAAGTAATGGTTACTAAGGTAACCAGTGTCATGGATATGCGGGGCAAAGTTCTGACGTCACTTTTGACTTTTTGAGTGTTGAAAGCAGTATCATATAGTACTGTCTACTTGACGGATCAGTTTATTTAACTGATCATTTGCTAGGTTGGTTGCATTTGGTTGCATCATGAGAACCTCTATTAGTTCCTTTCTAGAATGCCTTAAAGGAACATTCCTGGCCAAACCTTTTCTATCTTGATGTGATAGCCATAATCATATATATACTTTCCATATTTAGCAAAACATGGGGAAATGTTTTAATATAGTCAATATTGATAATTTAAAAATGTAGTGCTCATTTCCAGTAAGCTGCCATCTTTTAAGATTTTACTCAGGAAGTGATGTCATCGACTCTCAACTTTCATGACCTTGCATATAACAGGATAGGAAAATAGCACAATATCACTTCTAGATGAGTGATCCTTACTTTATGCGCACAAATATGTTCAGAGCTTGTCAGCTTAGAATAAAAGAAGAGACTTTTAGAAGGATTAAATCATAGACAAAATTGAAAAAGAATATTCAGCTGGTTTTGTAATTCTTAATAGCTCCTTATACTGTTATATGCAAAGTTGAGAGTCGATGACATCACTTCCTGAGTGAAATATTAAAAGATGGCAGCCTACTGGAATTTGGCACTACATTTTCAAGTGATCAATATTGACCATATCAAAACATTTTTCCCTGTTTTGCTAAATATGGAAAGTATATATATGGTTATAGCTACCATATTAGAAGAAAAATGGTCTGGCCAGGAATATTCCTTTAAGTTAGTTCAAGTCTACCTTTGATTTAGCCCATACATGTACAGTTTGGCTTAGAATGTTATGTTAAATAAATTACAGAGATCAACTGACCACGCGTATCATAGGACGGCATAGCCGGAGTGAAGCTCTACCAATCACATCACTTTAAAAGCTATGCAATTCTAAACAGAGATTGTTCATCTCACCCTACTTGGGGTCATAAAACTAATTGAGATGATAACACTTGGGACAGTTTACAATTAATGGCAATGACAGTGGAATGATTAAAATGTTGCACACCTCCCATCTGGTGATGATGATAGGTCCCGAAATAATATAATCTACTAAATCAGAGCATATTTCTCAAAATAGACAAATGTGGTGAGTATCAGAATGATTCACTGGTTAAGTGGTAATTTTGCCTAATCATTTAATTTGCCTATTTCCTAATTTTTGCCAGGTTAGGAAAATTAAATGTCGGAAATATTGTCTTTATAATGTTATCCTATGGGAGGTTTCTTGTCATTAGGAAAATTTATAATTAGGAAAATGATAAATTTTGACCATTCAGAAAATTAACCACTCGGATTAAACACCACTTATACAGTATGTCCCTGGATCCCCATCTAATGCAGCAATTTCTTGTATAATGCTTAGCTACACTTTAAAGGTAAACCATAATGGCTGAGTTTGCAGCACATTTGACAACAGCTGCTGCTGAAGACCAACCAACAATATTTGATGTTCTTGCACAAGAAAATCTGATGACTTCTATAAGACCTGCTCTGAAACATGCCTCAAGGGTAAGCTATCAAATTTTATTGTCACTTGTTTTAATGGACCTTTGATATTTCTTTATTAGTTACTAAATCTCCATACTCATTTTGCTCAATTTGTCACTTTTTCAGCATGTTCAATCACTCTATATTTTTTTACTGCAAAACAAATAATATATGTCTAATACAACTCTAGAGTATAGTACAGGAAGACAAACACTATTAACCTGGGATGAAGAGTTGTTATTATGCAGTCTTTTTAAGGCGTGCTACCACGAGTACCTGAGTTCTTTGATTCATTTCTTCTGACAAGAAATACTTCTGGTCCTTGGACATTGTGCAAATGAAATTAATGCATCACCAAAGGAACATGATGAGGTCTTGAACAAGAAAACACCCATTTCAGAAATGTACCAAATGGTAGGTGGTGGCATTTTGCCTGTTAATGCCTTGTTTTTTATTTGTAGATTCTAGCTGAAAGTAATCCTGGAAGATTTGGTTGGCTCTATGCATACAATGATGAGCTTTATTCCATACTTGACATTGTTCTTCAAAATCACTACCTTAGGAAATATGGTACGGATGTTGCCCTCCACCAAGCTTTGAAAATGTTCCAACAGTTGAGACTCACATTATTTCAACTGCCACTGTAAAATAAAAAATAGCACTCAATATTGATTTGTAGGAAATAAGATTTTTCCAAAAGTATACATATTGTGTGATTATATCAAACCAATTGTGATCATTCCGATCCTCCTTTGTGATCATTCCGATCCTCCTTAACAACCGGAGTGTCTTGAATCATATTCCTGTACCTCTAATATTCGCACCTCTCATATTTGCAGGTGGCTCTTTTGCTGAGAATTTCTATGGAATGAAGCGTATTCCTGCAATGTCTTCAAATGAATCTGCTAGTAATGCATCAGATACTTCCAGTGCAGGCTCGTTCTCCATTGGGAAATCTCTATTGTATTTGGTAAATAAATCATTAAAATAAATTATATTGATTTTTGATTGAAAGTATATCATCCCTCTGATTGAAATAAAATAAATACTTGAAATGATTTTGAAATTTTTTGTTAAGTTGTGCTTCAAAGTCTTAATTTTTGCAATATATCATGAATTACAATTCTAAAATTAAACAGTTAAACACCACACCCTTGTGACCACCTATCTATAGTGAACACTTTTTTCAAACAAACTCTCTGGACACCTGAATAAAAACCCTCCATTTTGTGAACAATTCTTGCGACTACAAAGGAGTTCACTATGTACAGGTTCTACTGCAAATTGAAACCTCATATCATCAAATTATTATTCATTGTTTATTGTATTAATTGAATACATTTTAATGATTTTAAATTTCATGGATGTTATGTCCTAACCTAGAATTTACATATTGTTCATCCATTTTGAATATAAATTGAATTCCATGGTTTATATCATATACTGTAGGTTGTGTGGCAGTACTGTAAGTTGAAGTTGGATAATGTGTTTGAATCATCCATTTTGAATATAAATTGAATTCCATGGTTTATATCATATACTGTAGGTTGTGTGGCAGTACTGTAAGTTGAAGTTGGATAATGTGTTTGAATCCCTGCCACAGCAAGCAGCAGATGGACTTATAGGATCCAAGGTAGGTTGGTGGTAGTACTGTAAGTTGAAGTTTGATAATATGTTTGAATTCCTGAGACAGCAAGCAGCAGATGGACTTATAGGATCCAAGGTAGGTTGGTGGTAGTACTGTAAGTTGAAGTTTGATAATATGTTTGAATTCCTGAGACAGCAAGCAGCAGATGGACTTATAGGATCCAAGGTAGGTTGGTGGTAGTACTGTAAGTTGAAGTTTGATAATATGTTTGAATTCCTGAGACAGCAAGCAGCAGATGGACTTATAGGATCCAAGGTAGGTTGGTGGTAGTACTGTAAGTTGAAGTTTGATAATATGTTTGAATTCCTGAGACAGCAAGCAGCAGATGGACTTATAGGATCCAAGGTAGGTTGGTGGTAGTACTGTAAGTTGAAGTTTGATAATATGTTTGAATTCCTGAGACAGCAAGTGGCTGATGGCCTTATAGGATCTAAGGTAGGTTGGTGGTAGTACTGTAAGTTGAAGTTTGATAATATGTTTGAATCCCTGCGACAGCAAGTGGCTGATGGACTTATAGGATCCAAGGTAGGTTGGTGGTAGTACTGTAAGTTGAAGTTTGATAATATGTTTGAATCCCTGCGACAGCAAGTGGCTGATGGTCTTATAGGATCTAAGGTAGGTTCAGTCTTGCATCAAGCCCTTGTGACAACCCCCTCTTCAACAAATCTCATTTATTCATAAGAGGGGTCACAAACTTGATGCAAGACTTAGGGTTTGAAATCCTTGCCAATGATTATCTAAGTTTGACATGTCACCATACTTGAAGCATTGAGATGACTTAGTCAGACCATAGACTTTTAGACTAGATTTTTTGTGGTTTAATTGTGTAAGAAATATAAAGGCGTACAGTATATAAAGCAGTACAGCTCATATTAATACATTTTGGCTTGTTTCAAATATTTCATATGTCCTTCACATTTCCTGCAATATTTTCAGACATACTTTGATCAGCTGAAGAGACTCTTTCTCACTGTGTATCCATATCTACACATGACATGGGAGACTTCTGTATTTGCTTACCAAATGGCATACATCTTTGGAAAAGTTGAAATTCATTCTCCCTTGTTGAAGCTGGCTGGAGTTAAACTGAGATACATGGATGAGTTTGACCTGGCACATCATCAAGGGGAAAGATCAGTCAAGACTTTAGAAGGCATAAGGTAGGGAAATGTTGGTGCATTTTCTTCTTGGCATAAGGTAGGAAAATGTTGGTGCATTTTCTTCTAGGCATAAGGTGAGGAAATGTTTGTGCATTTTTCCTACATGTTATCATTAAGATGATGGTTTCACAAAATTTTAAACCATTTTATTATTATCTTCAGTTCGGTTAAATAAAAGAATCAAATCAGATTTGCATATTTTGGTCAAATGTTTCAATAAATCGTCTTTATAATTAAACTACCTTTTTGGCAGAATTTTGAGCTGCATTGAAATTTAAAGCCCCCTCTAGAAAACTAGAACCCACCCATGACTATGGGGCAGATAAGTTGACGATACATGTAAATATTTTATTGGATCATTTTTGCTTGTTTTCAGTTTCCCACAAAGAATACCAATTCTCCTCAGGAAAATTTTAGGAGGTTTTGCAATTGGACTCTCATCTAGTCTCTCAGTTGGGGTGTTCTTCATTCAGTTCCTGGATTGGTGGTATTCCAGTGACCGTAATGCAACTTCTCTCACAGCCCTCCCAGTGCCAAATTCCCCAAAGGTATCTTCAATGTTTCTTTTATTTGATGAATTACAATACAGTAAAATCATCGGAACATCAATGGGACTTGCCTAGGATGAAGTATCATCTCAGGACTGACCAAAACTGTTTCGATTTGTAGGTTTTTACATTTCAAAATATTTTCTTTAATGTGGTACTGTAGATACACTTATTTTGACGCTACTTAAATTGACGGATCTACAGTAATTTATGACAAAATAAAAAATGAGACAAAAAGTGCTCATATTGAGAGGTGTTCAGATTAGAGAGGTGTTTGGATATAGAGGTTTTAGTGTTGTAATTGATATATTTCTGTAAGCATAAGATTCTGGGTGTTTATTTTCAAAATTCACTTTGTGATAGCAGAAACTGAAATTTCTATACAATCCATGTTAATTTGTGTTTGTTTATTTTCATTACGTTATTTAATGAGTTGTTCATTATTTGTTTTGCACTCAGAATCTATTATAATTTATTTTATATGTTCTATTTGTAGATTCTAGATTCTCTGATCAAAACACATTATTATGTTGTCACAATGTATGTTGTCACAATGTTCTGTATGTACAACTTACAGTACGTTGTCACAATGTATGTGTAGTTATGCCATTTGGTTGTTTTGAATTTTTTCCAGAAAACTGTACATGCGGCTTTACCCAGAATTCCTTCATTGTGTCCACTTTGTCAAAGAAAGCGTACAAATGACACAGTCTTGTCAACATCAGGGTGAGTGATGGACATTCTATATTAAATATAGTGTTGAATCGGACAATACAATAGGGTGCTCACAAAATATTGACATGTGTTCAATTTAGTTCATTATTATGCCTTTTTGATATCATAAATCTGCAAGGCATTGTAGAATAGTTCGATCAATTCATTAGTTTTTGGATAAAGATTCACTAAAATTGTAGTCATTTTAAGGACTCCACTGCAATACGTGCTTTGTTTCAGATTTGTCTTTTGCTACCCATGTATCTACAAATACGTGAGACAAAACCACAAGTGTCCAGTGACATCATACCCAACAGAGACGGAACATTTAGTAAAACTCTACCTACCAGATGGATAGAAGGCATTAGATGCCATGGGGGAAGGGGTGGGAATATACTTGCCAACAAAGCATTAACTTGTACAGACAGGGGTTTGAATGATCAGCAGGCATCCGGATATTTTCTTAAACTCTTCTAAACAAATTGTTGTTTTGATGAATTTTGTTATCGTCTCCATGTTAAAATGATAATATTCATATTTGCTGTCGTTTTCATTTGTTTTCTAGGGTGTCAGAAATTCTATTGAAATCATGATTTTTAATAAAATTAGCATAATTTTTGCAAAGTATATAGGAGGCATATCTTTGTTCATTCAGTTTTGCTGAATTGTGTTCTTGTGCTGAATTGTGTTGTCGCATATTCTTTGAGGTTTGCCTGCTATTGCAAAATGGTCATTATTATTATTAAAAAAATGCTTACGATCATTTTGTATCAAAATAAAATATTTAATTTAATAGAATTGATTTAATTGTATCAAACATCATTATGGTTATCTAATATAAAAATTAGAGGATAAAGAAACGAACTTTTCAAATGCCCCTCGTATGCTGTTTTTCATGTCAGCATGTTAGTCTTTTATATTTCTGAAAATGGATGTTGACCCAACAACCTGCACATTTGTAAAAGAAAATCAAATATTTTTATATCTACTGTATTGTATTTGTAATTACTATTTTATATATTTAAAAAGCTACTAATAAATAAGTAAGACATAATGTGAACATATAACATCATTATTATTGAACAATATGTTAATAATATAGTGTACAAACAGGACTAAATATGTGTCTGACTATACAACAATTTACAAGAACTTCTACAGGGTAACTGAAATACATTTTGAATGCAGATAGAGTCAAACGTGTGTAAGTGGAACACCTTACGTAGGTATCTATTAAAATGTAGTTGCATCAAGTTAATGTATAAAGTGACTTGGAAATGTTCCACTTGAAGAGGTGTTCCACTTGAGGAGGTGTTCCGCTTGAAGAGGTGTTCCACTTGAAGAGGTGTTCCACTTGAAGAGGTGTTCCACTTGAAGAGGTGTACCACTTGAAGAGGTGTTCCACTTGAAGAGGTGTTCCACTTGAAGAGGTGTTCCACTTGAAGAGGTGTTCCACTTGAAGAGGTGTTCCACTTGAAGAGGTGTTCCACTTGAAGAGGTGTTCCACTTGAAGAGGTGTTCCACTTTACAGGTTAAATGTTACAGAGGTTCATGTTATGGCTACATGTACTTGTAGGTCTTCACAGCATTCATGAGTCAAGTAGACCAAGGTGAATTTGAGACCCTGAACAGATCCAACTAACTACAAGTTGTATTTTATTGATACTAATCTACTGTATACAAGACATATAATAGTGATATCTTTTAATCTTATGATTGTATTTTAAAACCTGACTTTTGTGCACATTCGCTCCCCCTGCGTGATACGTTCAGCATAGTTTAATGTGTGCTGCCATCTTTTTAACATTAAAAAACTAATCACCCTTACAAGGGATTGTGATCACTGGTATCTTGGCGTGGTTGAGAACATAATCTGATACACTTCCTAAAAATGTTCGTCTGATTGTTCCAAGACCTCTTGTACCCATTACAATCATTGAAGCGCCCTCTTTTAGTGCCGTGGCAACTATCTGTTCCCCTGGGTTTCCAGTTACAAAACACAGTTTGTGCTTTACCTGAAAATCAAGGAACACGTAAATGTTCAAATGGAACGAGTCATCGTTTCGCATAGTCGATTTCGATTTTTAATCATGCAAATTTTACACCCAATTAGAAACCCAAGATGGTCAGATGTTTAATAAATTTCACATTTCATAAATTACAATTGATATTTTTAAATCATTATTAGGACCCACCAAGAAAGGGTTTCCATCCTTACGTCTTGTGACGTAAATGCAAGATGATGCTCGACTCAAAAAGCCTGCAAAGCGCTAGTCTTTAGTTTGGCCATGGTATTTCAGATATACTTGCACTATATAACACAAGGCCTTACCTTTCTTTGTAGCAGATCGGAGCTATAGTTGTTCTCAAGTTTGGTGACTTTCTCTCTTTGTTCTGTTAAAATGCGTTCCCATTCATGCACTGGTGGAGCTAGTCCCTCTAATGAAAAGAATTGTATCATTGAGTGATGGGGTGAATGGATTATAATATTGTTATTGGTTGATTTACATTATAAGATTAATTTAAAAATCTCTTATTTGCTGATATTGATTTGTATTTTGATTAGTTAATGGTTGATTGATTGATTATTCGTTTGTTTGTTTGTTGATTGATTGATGAAGTAAAACAAACACTTGTTTGATCAGTCAATGCTGAACTTCAAAATGTAAAATGATTGTCAAGATCTATCTAAACATAATTTGATAATTATTCGTTTTGTGCCCATAATTAATACTGAATTTGAAAGCATGTTCTGTTTTAATAACATTTTGTATAAACGACTCATATAATAGAATAATTAAAACCCTCACCTCCTGATATAGATGGACATAGCAGCAGGAAGCAAAAATAAAATAGATTTGAATTTAAATAAAATGGAAATAACACATAAAATAATGTTGGGTAGGATGGAACATGCACACAATGCGAGACCATGAAACACTTTTACAAATCGACATGTTAATTGATCCTCATTAAAGGCCCACTTTGCATATTTTCAATGTTTTGGGGCAAAATAAAAACTTACATTTGCATTTTATAGAATGTCCAATGTATTGATAAGATCCTTATCTTTCATTTGACACCAACAACAGCTCAAACGGACCACATCAAAGCTTACAATAATTAATCAAAAAATATTTTCGATCTTTCAAGCTTTATATATCAAGTTTTTATCAGTGTCATAGAAAGATGGCAAAGTTGTTTGTATTACATGATACATTCATTTCTAAAGAAGTGTCGCCATCTTTTTAATCAAAAGTAATTTAAACATGCATTTTGTTTAGCACGTGCGTGCACTAATAATGATCTCTGAACTTCAAATGCTTTTTTCTTTATGAGTTATTTTTTCTTGGTCCAATATTAAAGCAAATCAAACTTTGTTTCATATTTGAGCGAGTGTGTGAATAACATGTTTCAATGATTAATTTTTCTTTTTTCTTCTAAATTAAGTATAGTGGGCCTTTTTAAGGGACATGTGGAAATGTATGAATGTGTAAAAATTGAATTTTACGTGCAATGATGTTCTGTGAAATCAGCGATAGTCTTTTTGCTTTTGCATCTTGAACTTATATCTTTTCTTGGTTTGAATATCACTTGTAGGACTTTCACCTTTACAAGGGTATGCATGAATGAATATGTAAATGTTTTAGAGTTAGAGGCTATATAGGCAAAATACATCGAAATCTCAGCACAGTTAATTGCAAAGACACTCGGGTGCGTGACAGTTACGAATTTCACCATACCGTAGTATAGGGACCAGGTTAAGGGATTAATGTTCCCCTCCATTCATTTCCATTAAATTACTGGTTCCTTATTGGTCAATCCCATAAAAGGGAACGTGGAAATAATACAGGGTGTCCGTCAAGTCTCCCTCACAGACTTTGTTAAATTGGAATTGTAAAGGGACTTCTTGGGAACCCTGTATATAAGGCAATTGTATAAACAACCAATGGAATGTGACCATTAAACCCTGGACTGAGATATTCATCTTATCACACCATTGACAGGGTCCCATCGTTTTTAGTCCCCATACAACCAAGACCCGGAAGTGACGTACCTGTAAGTGACAGTGTAGGTAGACTGGGCGTTTCCACTACGTGTATTAAGACAACTGTGTTCTTTTCTCCATGGATGTGCTTGAAGTACCCTAAAATCATAAGTAGTATATAAATCCATTTCTTTTTACGATCAAGAAGTAAATCTATTGTTATAGCCATTGCCGTTTAGCATCTGTTTTATTAATCTATTTGCTCTTGCTTATTTACAACAGTGGTATAAGAAAGTTATTATATAAGTTCGGAAAATGACTTATGAAAAAATACAATTAATTGTTCAAATTGTCATGAAGGTGCGTAGATTCACCTAAAAAGTTGAAAGGAAATCAATTGTCAATGTCAATCATTTCCCATGCTTATTACTTATCGATGTGTTGTAGTCCTGTTTCTTATATAGCATTCGCGAATTCAACTGACTACTGACAGATTAACTTACTATTTAATGGTCAACTCATTTAAATATGAATTGTACCTGCCACTATTCCATTCATATTTGAATTAATTGGTCATAAAATAGTAGGTACGTTAAACCGTCAGCCGACCAATGCAAATGCAAGCTTAGTCAGTGTAGGTACTCTTTATATACTCGCATTTATAAAGCCTGCAGATACATGTAGTTCTTCGCGTTAAGTCGTCAAATGTGAACAAATACTTACATTCATAGGCTTCGTTCGCATTTCCACTTGCGTCAATTGCAATTGCAACCACGTTGGCTTCGCTCGAAGACATTCTAAAATATACGAATCAGTTGTAAATACGCAGACAAGATTAGAAAGGATATATTTCTGTTTTTCAAGATGGCGAAAACGTTTGATTTATTGTGTTCTGTCTCTTTTAAAAAGTCAATCTTGGAGTCAAAAGCCAGGCACCCACCATCATGGAAAAAATGAATGTTATGATTTTCCACTAATTATCCAGCACTAGAAGCACTACATTATGGTAGCATGGATATTTTTTCAAGTACATACATGATTCTATGAGTGCAATGAGTTGCAGGAGATGTCAAGTGATATTTTCAGTTTTACAGATCTACTTTAGAAACATATTGGACCTTCTTTAGCTGAAATGGTTTGAATAATTTTTGGCTGTGTTAAAAAATTGATATGTTCGGTCGGTTGTGCAAATGATCGACCGTTTTAGTAGGTCGGTCCAATCCGGCCTTGGGACCTGTTATATGCATATTTCAACTTTTGGTGCAGAGTGATGTCAAACCATTTATTCCGAAGACGCATCAATATCACTGATCCTCGGCATGACTTGTAAAGTCATCCCATATCATTTCATTCACAGACGCTGGATGTACTACTACTCTCCTCGGCTATCGATACATAATTTATGTGGCTATTTCTTACTCACTTCGAGAGCCATGTTAGATTTTCAAATCCAAATAGCTTTCGCAGGAAGTAAGCTATTTCCACATTTCCCAACTACTCGATTAGTAAAAACTGTTATGGCTGTGTCTATAAATACATATACATTTTGTAGATTCTAGATCTGATATCGGATTCCCTAATAAAACCAGAAACAGAAGTATCTCAAATCAATACATGAAACCACAATTAAACAAATCAACAAACAACATGATGTCATTTCATTTCTTCTCGACCAGGAGATGCCATATTATTTGTATGGACCTCTGTTATTTGCATAATACTAGGTGATCCAGGAGAGCTCGGATTTTAGTGTTTTGAGATCTATCATCTTATGTTATATTTCCTCTAATTAGGGTTCTTTAATCCTGTAGAGATAATCACCTTTGCCCGTGACAATGCCACAGAAACAGACCTAGAAAGATGCATATGTAACGTGTATCAGAACAATCCCCAAAGGCACTCAAAAGGCATAAATCAAACGTACATAAATACGTAAACAAATACTCCAAACGTGAAATACGTAAATACATTAAACCAAATACGTAAATACATATTCCAAACGTACACAATTAGGTAAATACATTAAAACCAAAACGTACCTTGCAATGCGATGTAGAATCTTTACTCCAAGCGTTTTATCTAAATAGTTACTGATATCGTACCTCGGAAAATGAACCAGCAGCAGTATGATCAATGATGTACTGTTTTTATATTGCTTCAGTTCTAGCTCTGCAAGAAGCTGCAGAATGTTTAATATTATAGATCGGTAGCTAATATTGCTGAGGATGTGAATGCGGGTACTAGCTATAGAACCGAATGGAAATCGATCACAATGTTTTCGCCTCAGCTGGAGAATACGGAAAACACTTTATTATACATTTACTCACTCGAACTGCACGGCGTGGGTTTGATTCGTTAATTGTGCAACTTGGGCTTATCACGTTTGGTCAACTTAGAAATATAGACTCCAATGACACACTGGAACAAGGTTTAAGGATTTAAGCCTCGGACTCAGTGCAATGTGGAATGATTATTCCTAGAAGATGTTGTTTTCCAAAATTTGCACGAGATGCACAGCATTGAGTGATAATTGTAGGAAACAACGCCTGAAATGAATTGTCATTCCACAATGCATTGAGTCTTGGGTTTAAATTCTTTTTACACATTGCAAGATATTTTCTACCATGTCACTTAAAAGATACGAAATCATTTAAAGAACATATTTTCAGGTCAAATTGGCAAAGCATCAATTTCAATCTGTGAGTCCAGTTGTCACCTTGGCAACCATATAATGAGTGCGTTATTGGTTATATAACGTAGCACATTGATATGGAATACTATGTTCAAATTGGCTGGAATCGGACGCCACCTTGCCTAGATATGTGTGAATCTGACGTAATGAATGCTCTTCGTACCGAGCGCTTCTGTATACAAGCGCCGGAGATTTTTTCAGTGAACATCTCTATAATAAGAGCACCTCTCTCAGAAAACACCTTCCATGTGAACACCTGTTTAACATGAACACCTCTTTAGGGAGAAACACACATCTCCAATGTTAAATCCTGTCTTCTATGTAGACAGCTCTACAAATGAACACCTTACTAAGTGAACACCTCTTTGGTTTAATACCTCTAAAAACACATCCCCAATATTATAAAACACATCCCCAATATTATAAAACACATCCCCAATATTATAAAACACATCTCCAATATTATAAAACACATCTCCAATATTATAAAACACATCCCCAATATTATAAAACACATCTCCAATATTATAAAACACATCTCCAATATTATAAAACACATCCCCAATATTATAAAACACATCTCCAATATTATAAAACACATCTCCAATATTATAAAACACATCTCCAATATTATAAAACACATCTCCAATATTATAAAACACATCTCCAATATTATAAAACACATCCCCAATATTATAAAACACATCTCCAATATTATAAAACACATCCCCAATATTATAAAACACATCCCCAATATTATAAAACACATCTCCAATATTATAAAACACATCCCCAATATTATAAAACACATCTCCAATATTATAAAACACATCTCCAATATTATAAAACACATCCCCAATATTATAAAACACATCCCCAATATTATAAAACACATCTCCAATATTATAAAACACATCTCCAATATTATAAAACACATCTCCAATATTTTAAAACACATCTCCAATATTATAAAACACATCCCCAATATTATAAAACACATCTCCAATATTATAAAACACATCTCCAATATTATAAAACACATCCCCAATATTATAAAACACATCCCCAATATTATAAAACACATCCCCAATATGATAAAACACATCTCCAATATTATAAAACACATCTCCAATATTATAAAACACATATTATAAAACACATCTCCAATATTATAAAACACATCCCCAATATTATAAAACACATCCCCAATATTATAAAACACATCTCCAATATTATAAAACACATCCCCAATATTATAAAACACATCTCCAATATTATAAAACACATCTCCAATATTATAAAACACATCCCCAATATTATTAAACACATCTCCAATATTATAAAACACATCCCCAATATTATAAAACACATCTCCAATATTATAAAACACATCTCCAATATTATAAAACACATCTCCAATATTATAAAACACATCTCCAATATTATAAAACACATCCCCAATATTATAAAACACATCCCCAATATTATAAAACACATCTCCAATATTATAAAACACATCTCCAATATTATAAAACACATCCCCAATATTATAAAACACATCTCCAATATTATAAAACACATCTCCAATATTATAAAACACATCCCCAATATTATAAAACACATCCCCAATATTATAAAACACATCCCCAATATTATAAAACACATCCCCAATATTATAAAACACATCTCCAATATTATAAAACACATCCCCAATATTATAAAACACATCTCCAATATTATAAAACACATCTCCAATATTATAAAACACATCTCCAATATTATAAAACACATCTCCAATATTATAAAACACATCTCCAATATTATAAAACACATCCCCAATATTATAAAACACATCTCCAATATTATAAAACACATCTCCAATATTATAAAACACATCCCCAATATTATAAAACACATCTCCAATATTATAAAACACATCTCCAATATTATAAAACACATCCCCAATATTATAAAACACATCTCCAATATTATAAAACACATCTCCAATATTATAAAACACATCCCCAATATTATAAAACACATCTCCAATATTATAAAACACATCTCCAATATTATAAAACACATCTCCAATATTATAAAACACATCTCCAATATTATAAAACACATCCCCAATATTATAAAACACATCTCCAATATTATAGTGAAAATCTTACTACAGTAAAATTTTAAATGTTTGGAACCATAGTCAAAACAGAAATGTTTGTGACAGGGGTGAGTTTTCTTCTGTGTTTAACGTCGCAAACTAGAGCGATTTGGACAATGATCTTTCGTCCACGATAGTGCCCACCAAGATGTGACGTGATAACCTCGCGCGTATCAAGATTGATCCATTGGATTCTCGAAAAAATTGTAGCACCCTTGAGAAAATTACTTCTTATTTCATTATTATTGGGAGATATATAGAATGTTATATACGAGCATGGAGCTATTGAAATTGGGTTTCTAAATCATTAACATTCGTAATATAGTATTCAACTATTACACAAATATCATTGTTTAAAGACGAGAAATCGAATTCGCCGACATGTTTGTTTACATTGACAACACTTACTTTAACGATAAATTAGACCCCTTTAACATGAAAAAATAATTTCAATCTTTTTTGATTCAGAAAGCCCACATCATAAGCTTATTTTTTCGCTAAATAATAATAGTATTCGTCTCCTAGTGTTCTTCATCCAGCCAATAACAAAATTATTTTTCGATTTTCCGGCATTTTGTATTGGTCTTTGACGGAGAATTAGAAGTACGTTCTTTAGGTTGAATCGGCCAAAACATACTGTAATATATTGGAAACAATCACAATCGCGATAACATGAATGAAATTCATCATAATAATCAAGGTACACGACGAAAAATATCAATTGCGTACATTATCGGACAGACTTTTCGTTTGCCGTCAGGTTCGTTTTTTTACAATAGGGTTGTCCATTAGATGCGTTTTCGTCTAGTGTGAATATGACGTTTTTACCGGGGATAAAGGAGTATGAACTAGATAGATCCATTGGTCTCTCCAGTCTTTGGAATGAAAAGTGAAATATCAAAGGATGTAACTTATTACTATTCTGGATGAGTATATGCTGATTTTTCCTATACTAGTATTTAACTGATCCGCCCTTTATTCTCAGGTTATCAATCTACACTCCACCCCAAGTTTTGCAAACTTCCCTATTAGATTACTCTATGCTTGATTTTTAACATAACATGCAATGAACACTTTAAATAAGCAATGAGAACACTTTAAATAAGGGTGCCATTGTTTACCAGCTAAGTCTTAAGTTCAATTTGTGGATATTCTCATGCCTCATATGTTATCTAAAGGGATATGTTTCTTGAAAAAGCATAGTTTTGACTTTGGAGACATATAACTTTATAAAACTTGAAAAATTATATCAAATTTTTTTTTAAATAACGTTTGTTAAAACATTTTTGGTTTACATCTGGATGACAATTTTTAAAAATGAATTTAATTTGCCATCAATTTGCAATCTTTTGTATATAAAATGAGAAAAAATGAAGCTATACTAGGAAATTATATCAGTTTAGATTTCCAGCCCAAGCAGTTGTTCAAATTAAAGCCAAACTTTTGAAGGGGAGTGTAAGTCTTGGCAGCACTTTGGTTTTGATTATCGTATTGATTGTACAAGCTGATTTTACTATCTTGTTAGTTGTCATTGTCACTATATCTCTGTTATAATGTAAGTGTAAAAACAATCATTTTACATGTTTTTAAGGTTAAAGTTCCACTTCTTTATTTTTCTTTATTTTGATTATTCCTCACATAGGTAAAGGTAGAATCAGATCAAGCAACAAACAATCTTTACTTATATTGTTTCAATTCTAGAATATATTTGGGTTATATATGTATCTCACACTTTATTCAAGGAAAACTAAGATTATAACATACAGAGTGAGCCAAAAAAAGGTAACCCAAACAAATGTATGTAAATAACTCAGTCATTCAGCATGGGTTCAAAATCATATTTGGCACAACTAAACCTTAATCAATGTCATTGGTCTGTCCCTTATAGTCACAATTTTATGGTCATCTACAAAACATGGTCCAAATGCTGAAATGACTGACTGGACATAAATCCCACCAGCTTTTTATCTTTGGGTCTATTTTTTCTACACTAACAACCCTTGAAACATTGAAACAAGAGATAAGAAGGAAGATGAGAGCCATAAAACAAAATGTTTATGCTTGTGTTGTGAACAAGACTACGCCCAATCCGTTCAAGTTGGCCTCCAGACTTGACGCCCATATTTTATGGCATGTTTTGTAAAATGGCCATAAAATCATGACCACTAGAGATACAACCAGAACAACGGCAATGCCAAAGCGTAGCGAATCCCATCGAACAGCCATGGATGGCATTTTTACAAAGTATATAGCAAAAATGGCAGCCATTTTTCAAAATGGCCGCCTTCTACCAAAAGTGTCATTAGACCATGTGCCATACTTATAGTAT